GCATACAGACAACGTGTCTACTGGGCAGCTTAAATACACATTGAATGCAGGTAGTGTGTATTTTTTCTAATGCCTGTATACCTTGTGAATGCACTACGGGTGGCGATCTATCGTAACAATTCAGTGGACAGCATATGAACGCCCCGTCGGATCTTACGATTTGTCGATGACTGTGTAATTTGAACAGGGCGGATTAGTATTACCAAGGTAAGCCATTGTACATTTGGGTTAACTCACTGAATTCTTGTGAGCAAGATTCGCTGGTTAGGACCTTTGTTGAGCATCTCTAACAGTTGTCTGCAGCACCGCGTCTTCTTTGCAGAACTTTTGATGGAGCTCCAACTAATTGAATGGAATTCAGACACTCAAAATGAATGCGAATTAGCTAGTCAGAATAGGTTACTACTCAGAGTGCTTACGCCTGTTAAAGATAAATGCTAGAAAAATTATATAACGTATGCATTCAGTGTGTACAAGACACCTTTTTCTATCTCAGCATCGATTTTTTGCTGTGAATTTTTAAATACAATTCCGATTAACCATTCAGCGAAGAATTTTTGGGCATATCTGAGACGGTATTCTCTTAAACTACGAGAAAACGTTCAGTTATAACCTTTTCTATTTTCGTTTACTTCCTTTTTACTGAATATCGAATTGCACAAGGATTACTTTAAAACGTAGGAATCGGTCCGTCCGACTGTTGCCATCTTAGATGGCTGTAGCAAAACTGTTGATCTACCTTTTTTTTGAAAACCTTCGTTTTTCCAATCGTTTCCGGTTGTTTGGGTAGCTTGAAAACCCAGTAGTAGTAAGATTGAGTCTTTGAGTTGGGTCTTTTGGGATTTGATGCATTGACTTCAATAACAAGCTGAAGCATCACCTCGTAGACACTAGAACCACACAAAACTAATCAAAGTGAATATCTGTCATTCACTTTCGATTGCTCTTCCAAGAGGAAATAAAATTTGGATTACCCGAAAGATACAAGCATACTTGTGTTACATTCTGACCATTTCCTCTACGAACTTACTGTCCTTGACAGCACTGATTGAATGGTGCAGTTCATTTCAATTTGTACGACCATTAACCATGCACCTTCGTGCGGCGATTTTGGTTGCTGTCTTCTGGCTGCCCATTTGGATGAAGAATAGGGGAAAGACAGGAAAGGTTGAAAGTAGAGTCGAATAGAAAATGGAGAATTTCAGTGGACTAATAATGGAGAGAAATTGAGATGCACGGACGCCACTGTTTACGACACTCAGCCATGTCACTCGGTGTCTCGGTTTAGATCATCCCGAGGTCCCCAGCCAGGGAGCCTAACGGGATTTATGTGACCCAGACTCCTGGTTAGGGTTTTTATACCCCCGTGCCAGGTCTTAGCTTGACCATCCTTGTCTTTCATCCACCAAATACCTGCCTCGGCGGAAATCGCTCGCCGTGGCAACCTATCTGGTGACATGTGTAACACATGTCCCAATCAATGTAATCTATGGAGATCGACCACTTGCTCTAGTGGGCGACCGCGGTTGCCTAAAACTGCGCCTAACCTCAGTATTTCTCGTTCGGCTACCCCACCAGATTCGTGCAGTGTTGCGTAGACAGCGGTGTTCAAACACCGACAATCTATCTCCATCCTGTTTTCTTAATGGCCAGGTTTCTGCTCCATATAGCAGAACTGGTCGAACTGCCGCGGTATACACTGGACTCTTGACATACAGCCGGATTTCGCGACGGAGCCACAAATGTCTCAAGTTAACAAATGCCAACCGAGCCCTCTGTATGCGATCGAATGATGCAAACCGCCATCAATCCACAATGTATGTGCGCGCGTTTGAGCCAAGGTGCAGATAAGTCACTAACTTTTCTGGAGTATTTGGTTCTGTTTTTGCACCTTCAGAGTGCAAAATCCTGCTATAAAGTTGAGCCGTTCCGTTTCTCAACCTCACTCAAGCCGAGGAGCCAGGACGGAAAGTTGAATGATTTTGCTACTTAAGTAGGTGCATCTCTCCTGTGGGGCGGACGAATCTTAGATGCAATACTGTCACGTTTGTTGGACGTTAGTTTTTTTGTTTGGTAACTTGCAATGTTCGTGATGTGGTCGCGAAATTCGGGGTTATCAGTTCTGTTTGGTGTGAGGATAGGATTGTTACGTGCGACAAATATTCACAAATTATCGACGTTCAAGCAGCAGCAGCAGCAGCATTTACGCATCATTGCACGAATGTAATGGGACAATCGAATGAGAATGCTGTAGTTAGAAGGTAATTACGATTGCGTACTTACGCACCTGCCTGACTTTGATGGGTCACCATTATTTGTGATTGTGTTGCACATTTCGCCCAATCGAATTTCTCGTTACACAGGGTTTTCAATTATAAACAGTGTGTGTGTAAGGCTGTCATGAGTGGTCATGCTGTAACCTGACGTGGATTTACGCACATTTTAACCTCGCGGGGGGGGGCTATTTGTTTTATCCGTTATGACTCACACATCACTTCATAGCGTACGGATCAGTTTGCTCATGAGAAAAAAAACTGGATGAATGAATACACAATACTGTTTCTGTTGCCCGATTCGTTCTCTGTTGTCCCTCCCAGATCACTGTGGTAAGGCTTCTTGTGTATTGACACTTCCGTGCCTTTATAGTAATGCGCTCACCATCGTATCGATAGTGAGACTAATCTTCCCTGCTGTTGTTTTTTCCAATAGCTATCTATTCATTTCCTGTGAATCAGGATTTTCTCCGATCAGTTTCTGGGTGCAATACCTTGCATCCATCTATACGTTGTCTGTCGCGACCGCCCTGCGATTGATCATGCATGTTGCCCAATGCCGCTGTGGGTTCAAAATCAGATCCAGACCAGTGTTTACGTCTCCGTTCCTTCTGTCTTCTTCTTTTCACAACCACCGTGTTCATCACATCTATCGCTCAACTTAGCTGAAAATATCGTATGCCCTCTTGTGCGTCTTAGCGAACAGTTGTCAGCGCATCGCAGCCACCGGATGCCGTGCATT